CGACATGTACGTCAATGTCGTGTGCCGCAGATTGGAATTTTCGCTTCTCGTTTGCTTGCGCACCAGGGAAAGTGTAGGTGACTTTCTCACCAAAACTCCCAAACCACTGTTCTTTTTCTCTTTTTCATCCTTTCTCCCGTGGGATTGGATTTACGTAAGCATGATACACGTGTCATTTTGTTAATCATTTTCCTCTAAGTTTTTAAAAGTAAAGAAATGTTTAGAGATTTTTAAAAACTATAAATATATAACTCGTGTAAGTTTTAAAATATTTTTAATATATTTTCTTAAGATACTTAAAATTCTATGATTAAATATAGAAAAATTATCTTATAAAAAAATTAATTAAATTATTTTACCAACCCCACCTAAATATGTAAATTTTACTATAAAATTGTAGATGAAAAGTTACAATTTCTCACTTAAAAAAGAATAAATAATTTGTATTTATATATAAAAATAAAATAAACTATATATTGATATTTAATATTATATTTATTAAATATAAGTAAATCATTTAGTAAAAGTTGTTACAGTTTAATTAATGTAACTGTGTTAAATATTTGAAAAAATTATTTTTATTTTTAATTTAATAAGTAATAAATTTTATATGAATTTATTTTTTAAAATATTTTTGTAAAATGTAATTTTAAAAATTTAATGGCATGAAAATTAAGTTTCAAAACTTGATTCAGTGTTGTTTGTTTCTCAGACTCGAGAGATCCTTCCTCCCCAGACAGTATAACTCAAGGCAATTTTGATATTAAACAAGTGAATCGGGTGAGTGAAGTGAGCCAGACAAGTTGAGTATTTTCTTTTGTTTATTTATTTATTATTCTTGTCAAGAAAAATATAACAAATTTAATTTCAAACCTCAGTCACATTTCATTGTAAATTTTGGGGTGTCAAAAGTAAAATTCGCCTGTTTTTTATATTTGACAACATTTTCTTATACTAGTGTAGATTTTAAAAAATTTATATTCAATTTAAATTTTTTATTTAATTTATTAGTTATAATTTATTACTTAATTGAAAGACCCAAATTTTTTACAGAAAATCCTTTCTCTTCTTAAATTATAAAATTTAGTAACACATTTAATTCAAACTTAAAATTTAAATCCTATATTTTATCCAATAAACTTTAAATAACTCGGTAAACAATTTTATTTTATCAACTCTACTAATTAAAATATATATTAAAAACATTTATTAGCTTTCATTTTTATTTAGAATAAAATAATTCCATAATTTTATTAAAAATATAAAAAAATTCTTTAACGGGAGTTCATTCCAATTCTTTTTTTTTTTTGAGCTGTCAATTCGATTAATCTTGTTGAGTTCATCTCGACTTATATCGAGTAACGGTGGTTGAAAATAAAATACAATAATTTAAACTTTTAAAATAATAATTTAAAAAAGAAACTTTTTGCACATAACAAACTTACGGTGAGCACTCACTTTAATTTATAATATTTAAAAAATTAATATTTATTAAATATTAAAAATTACATTAATCATAATTTTTAAACACGTTTAATTATTTAATTTTAAAAAAACGTGTCTCTCCAATTAAAATGACTTTACTTTCGTTATTTTATTATCATAATATTATTTACACTGATAAATTCTAAAATAAAATAAACTAATAATTTTAAATATTTATTTGGTTTCCTCACTTTATATTTGTGAGAACTTTCAATCAAACGTACTAATTAAAAGAATTTAAATTTGACTTATTCGGACGTGTATTTTGAATTTTAATTTTAAAAATATTATGTGTACAAGAAATTGGTAAAAGAACAAGACTACACTCACGACCACAAGATTGAACACCGACGACCCAATGGTCCATTGGCCATAAATCTTTGAACTGGCCAACATATAAATTATCCTTAACATATTTTTCATTACATTTCAATAAAAAAATTTAAATTATATGGTAGCAGTTCTAAAAATCTTACCTTGTTTATTTAAAACTATAAAGATGAACTTTAGTAATCACGTTAAATTTAACTTTAAAAAATTATTATAAAAAATTTAAAAATTAAATTTAAAGACAAACGTATTTTTTAAAATAAAACTTATCTATATATTATAAATATAAGTTATCTTTTTTTTAATGAAATCTTTTTAAAGATTATTTCAATCTTTATTATATTATAAAATTTTTTTTATATCGAGTATTTCATCATTTTATTTATATAATTTTATTAACATCAACTCTTATGGTTGAATTTAAGTATCCATAAATATAATTTTTTTATAAAAAATATATAGTTATTATATTAAAATTATAAAAATATAATAAATATTTTTTTAATAAAATTTTATTATTATTAATTACTTATCCTAAGATTAATAAAACTCATATATTTCATATATGAGTATATAATTCTCATAACATACACTCAAACATATACTTATTTTATATTTATATATATATATATATATATATATATATAAATTTAAAATGTGAATATTTTAGTTCTTATTTTGTTGTAAAACCACCGAATATTAATATTTCAAATAAATTATTAATTCATTATAAAATATAATATATCATAAGAATCAAAAGTATTTAGCTGAAAGAAAAAGTACAAATAAACCAAAATCTGAATTTTAAAGAAGCTAGTCAAATACTAAAATCAAACTCAATATAGGAAGTGTTTAAATTACAAAAAGTTTATTTGAGCTTATTAAAAATATGTTTAGATTGGTAGAATGTAATGTAATTGAGGAAAATGGTATGCACTAGTATCTTATTTTATTATTATTTGAATTGGTAAAATGAAGATGAAATACAATAAAATTTATTATTTATACTCACTTTTTCCCTCCAAACTGGGAGAATGGAAATAAAATAAAAAATATATATGATTTTTAATGAAATTATAAAGCTTTTATTTTATTTCTACCATCTTTTTATTATTTATGTTTAGAGTATACATGTCATTGTTGAACTCCTATGCATAATCTTTTACTATCTTACTTTATTATCATTGTTTTTTCCTTATTAAGATATGTATTTATTTAATGAACATATATTTTTAGTATAAAATTATAAAATAGTTAAATTGAATATTTAAATATAAAATAAAAAAAAAAGTCTACACACACCAATTTTATATATAAGCATGATTTTATTTTGAAATATGATAATAATATAATTATTTTTAAAATAAAACTAATCATTAAACTAACAAACACTGTAATGATCGAATATTATTTTAATTTATATGGAATAATTAATCAAATAAAATATTTATTTATCGTTATATAATATGATGTAATAAAAATAAATAATACTATGAAAATAAAATAATATTATTTAATTGAAAATGATTTAATTATTATTTAGTTTGTCCAATTGCTCTTACTACAAATGTTTAGGGGCCTGAGTCCTTGTTTCTTAAATTGTCGGCCGTTGTGACTCATTTAAGTGGACTAAACATTTAATCTAGTCCTGAAATGTAAGTTTTATCTATTTTATTTTAAAGAGATTACATTTATGATTATACTAAAATTTTAAAGATTATTTTTTCACTTTCTTAATTTTTTTTTAAGGAAAAATATAGTGACATTTTACGTCTTTGGAAAACTAATTTGGCAACAAATTAAATTTTTGAAATATATCTTTGGATGATTAATGTGAAATCAATTTAAATATCTATAGGCACATGCTAAGACATCATCCTTAAAATTAATTAAATATTTTTTAACTAAAATTTAATAAAAATATATTGAAAAAAGTTTTGTACAAGTTAATAAGGATAATAATACTCCCATGAGTTTAAGTAGGGAACTATAGTGTTTATCTTTATTTTTATTTATTTTTTAAAGTAAATACTCAATCTTGTACTTTTAGACTTTGTTTGAAAGTTTGGAAAGGAGAAAAAAAAAAGAGTTTGAAGGAAGAAAGAGGAAAATGGAAGAAAGGGAGAATGAGGTTAAACTCTTCTCTTGTTTGAATATTTAATATTGAGAAAGGAGAGTGATTGGAAATTTAATTATATAAATAATTTTAAAATTAATATATTTTTTAATTTTTTAAAAAATTATCACTTAAAAAACTAATATTTAAAAAAAGTTAAAAAAATCTTATTTATAAAATAATATGAAAGAGTGGAAGAGAAAAAATCTTCAAAATGAGTGATTTCAAAAAACAAGTTTTTGGAGAGTTTAGAAAAATTTTCAAAATCTTTCTCTCTTAATTAAGTAACTCCCAAACAAGATTAACCCCTTTTAATCTCTTCCTTCCCCTTTCCTCTCCTCTCTTCCTAAACCTAACTCCCAAACATAGCCATAAACTTGTAGATAGCAACTTTATCATTCATCCTTATATTTTGTGGGTACCTAAGCACTCATACTCAAACTCATTATCCACATTTTTATTACGGATGAAGATGTTAATTAGATGACATGATCCAAAAGAGAGTACTTAGCTTAAAGAGAGAGGCAATAACTTAAGATCATGAACACAGATATTTTGGAAGGCTTGATAGACTCAATAGGCTAAGAAAGCCAATGAAGTGTTAGATCAATCGATGGCATGTGTATTTGGCCATTTGAGCCACACATTGGGTGATAATGAAGTGAAATTTCTACTACTTGTATTAGTTGATTTAACGTGTGTGTAAACTTTAAATATTTATATTATTGAATAGTTTTTATAAAATATAAGATTGACTAATTAAATCATTAATTTAAATATTTTTATTTTATATAAAAACTTTTTTTAATAATCTATTTTTTATTTCATCTTTTTTTCCTTAATAATTCGAGTAATGAATTTTGAAAATATAGCCTCCACTTCCAGCAACCCTGAGGATTTCAATTACGTATCCACCCCCAACCAAATCAAACACCAGATTTTTAATTATCGCCCTCGCTTGCCACGTGCATCATTTTCATTCCCTTTCCCCCTCACAGTTTCACACACACACACACGCAACACTTAACTCCTCACACTGCAAAATCAAAATCAACAATCCCTCTCTGCTGCTTACAACACGTCGACAACGTTCTGAAAAAGCAACGAACACTTCATCATAACACACATACCCTCTCACCGTTACTTACCTCTCTCTCTCTCTCTCTCTCCTTTGTGGTTCACATTCATTTCTACAACGCTTTTGTATTCCTCTGTTGTTGTGTGCATTTTCATGATGGCGCTGCCGAAGCTCTTCCTTCTCTTAACGCTTTTTTCCTTAGCCCTATTCTTCTCACGCCTCGTGGCTGAGTCCGAAGCTGGACCACCAGAAGTAGCGCCACTCGATGCTTCTGATTCGGTTTTCGAAATCGAGTTGGATCGGCTCAAGTCCAAGATCCAAACTCTTGGTCCGTTCTCTTTCTCGGTTTTAATTTCACTGATTGGAGACGGTTTAAGCTTGTTTTCTGGAGTTTGATTTCACTCTATGCGAGAAAGAGATGCGAAAGTATGGCCGTTTTAAAAAATTAAAGTTGCATGTACCTTCGCTAATATAATTTTTTATTTATAAATATATAAATGAAGAACATTCATAATTTCAGAAAGTAACGAACTTTCGTTCTATATTTCATGAATAAGGACGAATAGATTTGATTAGATGGAAAATAAGCACACGAAAATTGAGAGAGAAAAGAAAAAAAATATGACATTTTTTTTTTTTGGAGAAAAATGATTTAGCTTGTATCTAAGGATATTTAGTTATACTTCAAGCCGTAGCTGGTTTCATGTAGAATCATTTTCAAACTGCGTATACTTCTTCTTTTTGTAAATTAATTTTGATTTTTAAAAAAAAAATAATTTTGATAAATACCAACGTATACTGATCGTCGTTACCTATAGTTACCGATTACGGACATGTTTGACAATGAAGAAAGTACCCATGTTTGAGAGGTTTCACTTTGAGGTTGTTTTGTTGACTGAATTAATGTAGTACTCCACTGCGGGTTATGAAAGCGGTGAACCTCTATCAATGTTCTGAATCCCGACACTTCAATCGGGCCAAATTGAGTGTGTGTGTGTGTGTGTATGCCATGTTTTTTTTTATTATTTATATTCATCTGATGAACTTTAAGTTATGGTTGTTGCTCTTTGTTGAATCGTATCCTGTTGTTTTGATCTTTAGTCCGCGTGCAAGTAAAACCTTGTTAGGATATGTTGGTAAGCCTATGGCATTTTTTGAGGCTTCTTGGATGTCGCTATCTATGCTTGTTCTCTTTCACTGTGACGCATGTGAATCTAGTATTGTTATTTTTTGAAGATGAGGTCAGAGGCTACAACAGGGGTCCATTTATGGTCTCCTGATTGTCATTTGCAGTCAAATGAAAATACATGAGCACAGAATCACACTTAAAATTCCTGGTTTTTGTTTACTTTTTTTATATGCCACTATATCTGCTGAATTTCTCTAGACTCTTAGTTCTGGTTTGAATATGTCTATTTATACTTGATGCTTGTTTGGAATAATTGGTACTGATGCTACCCAGGGTTTGTGTTGATTGATCTCCAAACAAACCACTTTTTACATTGTTCCTATGCATAGCTAATGGTTCAAATTCAATGGGACTTCTGCACCCGCTATTTATTTACTTTTTTGCATTTGTAGATGAGGTTTTGTTTAATGCTTGTGTATGACGTGTTTGTGCCTAATTTTATTTGAAGAATCTAAAGTCAGTGAAAAATCCATGGAAGTGAAGATGAAGGATGAAGTTATAGCAGAAAGGGAAAAAATCATTCAAGATCGGCTTAGTACAATTGATTCCTTGCAGAATGAGATTGCTTCTCTTGAGGTGAGGTGTTGGGACTGAACTTGTGGAATACATTTTTCAAAATTATGTTTTCCATTTTCATCTTATCTCATTAAATCTATGAATTGCCATGTCTCGTGTCAAAGAATTCAATTGAGGGTAGTGTACTATTTTCATTCTGTTACACCCAGAGCATTATGAAAAATTACTAAAATTGGAGTCACATACTCTTCTGTTCATTGTATCTTAAGAAGACCCTTCAAAACTAACTTCTTCCGAGTCATGTTTTTCCTCCCAGAAAAAAGGGGCATTGGATGCTGAGGAGCAGGTTGGAAAGGCTCATGCACGTGCTGGTGAACTACAAACACAGGTTAGTTGTGGATTATATACAAGATGTAATGATTATGAATCTTTTGTTCCTACTTTGAAAATCCTTATGTAGGTGGACAAGCTTAAAGGGGAACTAGATAAACAGAACAAGGAGAAAGTGGCTTTGGAAGCCCGTATAACTGAAGCAGAGAAAAAGATTCATGACTTAAACTCAAAGAAAGAGGATGTAAGTTTTTTTTTTTTTTTTTTTTTTTTTTTTAGTAATACACCAAATTAGTATTGAAATTACAATCAGCAATTAATTTACTTCTTGAAATTACCAAAATGTCATTTTAATCTTTGAAAATATAAAATGTCATTTTTTTGTTGTTTCTATTATTTACTATTTAGTTATTTTGGTCAAGAGTCTCCACATAAGGGTTTATGGCACTGTGGAAAAGAGAAAAGTAAGTGTAAGTGTGTAACTATTATAGGGATGCCTTTAGTTCAAAACACTTGGGAGTTGGGATATAATTTGTGAGTTGGTGACTACTTTGGGTTATGTCAAGATGTGAGGCATGTTGCTGGTCATTATAGATCTAGTGACTGAAACATTTATTGTGCATCCTGTAGCATAATATTAGAGCATGGTAATGTTCAATAGTAAAACTTGATGGATAGGAGGGGAAAGTTATCCTACAATGTTGTTGTTCTAAGTTGTAGTGGTAGGTAGGGGATTAGGGCCTCATTGATGTAATAGGTTTGGGTTATGTCCTTGCTACATTATGAAATGGTTTTATGTCTTGCTTGTAGAATGAATGTTCTTATTTAATGTCTACAGGAATTACATTTTAGGTGAAGTGTGGACACAAAATGGTGCAATGTGAAAAATGAAATGTTCTTAATATAAATTTGCATCCTTTTAGTAATGGTTAGGAATTGGAATTGAACTTGTCAGAACTGAGTAGCATCATGGTATCTTTTTAAAGCTGCATGATTTATTTATTATCTATTTATTATCCTTTTCTGGATAGTAGCTCTGTGTCATTCTTTGATTGGTGCATGTTCTTTAGTAATCCTCACATTATCAATTTTTTCCAAGAAGAAAAAAAATTGCTGGTACTAGTGTGAATTTTAATTACCAAAGCATAATTTCTTTGACTGTGATTTGATGAATTGAGTAATGCATTCTCCACAGCTTGAAAGGATAAATGACAAGCAAAAGACAAAAATTCGTAAAACTGAAAGTGCTGTTAAGGCTGCAGAGGTATGTGTATTTTTTTTTTCTTCTCTTTGGCATGCAAGATGCTTGATAATGATTTTGATGGATGTCACTCTACTCCATACCGTTCCTACTACTCTTGTTTAGGAAGAAATGTTGAAGGCGAAGTTTGAGGCAACATCCAGAACAAAAGAGCTAATTGAGGTAATGATAGAGTTGAATTTCTAAACCAATTTATCTTTTATACATATTTGCAAATTTTGACATCCTGTTGGATACCTATGATGTAGTCTAGTCTAGGTTCATTTGTGAACACTGCTTTCATTCTGAAATTGAAGAAATGGTTTTGATTCTGTGTGCTTTTTGTTACGGAAACCTAGCATGAGTGTCAATAGTTCATCTATGTAGCTGAAGTATCATAGAAAAATTGTTGGAAAGTCAACATAATGACATGATGAAATATATGCCAGCATATAAAATTATGTCAGACTAGAATCAGCTTGCTTTTTCCAGGGAATTTTAATTTCTAGATATATTCTTGGGAAGTTTGACTGATGAAAAATATTTAATATTAGGATTAAAAAGTGTTAGAAGTTTTATTACGGCATTTAAGAGCCCAAAAGTTTAATTCATTCTCATATGCTCCTGGAAGTACACAATAATATTGAAGATGGATTACCAGTCTAAGTGGATAGGTTTGAGGCAGCCTAGGTTCAATTGTTTATGATAAATAAAAAGCCTGTCTGAAAAACTGGTAGAAGGTCTCAAACTCTAAGAGTTTAGACTAGTCTGATAGCGAAACCAGAATTTTGTTTTTGTTTTTGTTTGCAGCTGTTACACCAATGAGAGAAATGAATGATTGGGCATTTTAAAATCTTATTATATACTAATGTTGAAGATTTAACATTTTCATTAGGAAATGATGGAAGATGTGGCTTGCTATTTGGAGTTTCACAAGTTTAGATGATTTTACATTTGGTCTTTTTGATGGGTGTATGATATGAATATAAAGGTGATGAGATTTATTAGCCTGACTAACCAAATATGAAATTATATTTTGGGCCTTCGGCCAATTGTTATATTTTGTGACATTGGTTTCTATCCTAAATTTAAATGCACACAATAACTAAACTAAAAAGCCACTCCAAAACACAGCACTTGTTGGCTTAATCAAAGTTTCATTTTGGTTTTGTAAGTAGCATTGTGTATTGCTATTATACTGATGAGATTTAAAAAAGTGTGTCTTGTTTCTCTGATGACTTCTGATTATATAAACCATCCTAATGATGTGAATTTGGCATCTAACTGTTGCATATTGACATTAACAATCAGGTTCATGATGCTTGGCTTCCACCTTGGCTTGCTGTACATTTCATCCGCAGTAAGGTGAGAAATACATTATAGTAGAGCATTGGGAAAAAGCATATACGAGTCTCTTTGGCATTGCTAATATAGCAAGATTGCTATTCATGGTGCACTAGGGAAAAATATAGCCTGCCTATTTTTCTTCAAACTAATCCCATTAAAAAGAATAGAGGAAGACCTATGAAACCTTTAGAAGAGAAACCATTGAAACATAAAATGATTTCGTTTTTGAAAATTTTGTTTCTGACAAAGCTCACGTACAGTAGCAGTAATTGATTCATTTAGTGGACTAAACTTGGTAGGACAACTTCAGTTTCTTTTTCTTCAAGCTACTGTATAGATGGCTGGGATTATCTATATGTGCTTGGATATGTTTTGAGTTTGTTTTTCAAATTTCAATACTATATAAATGAACTTTGATAGCTGTAATAGTTAGATTTTTGTACTAACAAAAGCTTTTCATTTATATTCCCTTATTTTTAATTGGAAGAGTAGCAGTCTATTGGTTGTGTACAAAATCTCTTTACCCATCCTTTTCTTTCTGGACTTCTCTTGAGTGCATATGACCCCAGGCCTCTTTCCTACATCAGTGAGTTCATTTTATATCCTGGATGACGTTTGTTAGAACACTTCTTCCTGTGTGTTAAATGTTTTGTTTTTTCCTAGACTTTCATTGAGGCTCATTGGAATGAACATGGAAAACCTGCTTTTGAGGTGATTACTCAGAAGGTACTCTATTTGGTTATCAATCTTTCTTATTTATTTCTTTGTATGACTATTAATTGATCATAGATCACAGGTTTTCTTTAAAATGTCCTAATGGCATCTGTATTTTAATGTCCTTCCTATTTATTCTAGGCCTTGGAGAAAAAGGCACAAGCTGGAAAGTGGGCTGAACCTCATCTGGAAACAATTAAAATTGTAAGATTTATTCTATTAATATTTTTCAGATTTTTTATCTGCTGTATCGGAATGATTTTGTGGGAGTTTTGGACCGATGAATAAACTAATGGCACGGATTTTTAAGCAGATCATTATTAATTTGATAGTAGCCTTTACTGCAGTTTGCATGCTATATGACTAGAATGTAATTTTGCTTCAAACTTCTGTTTTGAACCCTTACTCTGATATTAACTACCCTGGCAACCAGGGAATTGGATTTTAGTCTTTCTAACTCTTGTTCTTTACTTGAAGAAATGGATACCGGCTGTAAAAGAGCAGTGGCTAGTGGCAAAAAGAAGTGCTGAACCTCAACTGCAATTTTTTACTGCAAAAACTGTTGAGGTTTATGAGGCATCAAAAAATGCAATTGCTCCTCACTTAAACAAGGCACAAGAATTTGTAGATCCTTATTATCAGGTATATATTGCAGTCCTTCATCCTTAGGGTGTTTCTTTGCGGTGGTGACTGGTGATTTTAACCTTAATGTATTCTATACTTGTTTCCAGGAGGCTAAGAAGTTTAGCAAGCCATACATTGATCAGGTTGCAGTTGCAGCTAGACCTCATCTAGATAAAGTACAGGTGGCTTTGAAGCCCTACACAAAGAAGGTTGTTCATTCTTATGGGAAGTTCTTAGAATCAGCCGCTATATATCATCGTCAGGTATGGCAGACTTTCTGTTGCCCATGACAAAAAGTTTTGCATACCCTTTTTCATTTTGGCTTTAATTATTACTGATATGAATACATGTATGATTATATACTTGGGTGGAGAGAAATAGTTGTGTCTGTTAAGAGGATCCGCTGATCTGTCCTTTTAGAAGTGTAAATGAGAACTAACACAGTATTTTGAATAGTCATTAATTTTGTCAGTTATGATTATATGAACTGCTGTCTTATTGATTTAAAGACTATTATTATTAGACAATAGAGAAAGTACGGGCTTATTTGGAATGAGAAAATGTTATGTTTTATTTTCCTGTTTTCACAAATAATGAACAAAAGAACACCTTGTTTTCACTTTGTTTCTTGTTTTCAAAGATTTTTTCTGGACATTTTTGTAATTATTTGAGAAACAGGAAATGAAAACAGAAAACCTTTTCTCAAAGCAAATAGATCCTATGTTCCTTATATACCTTTTCTCTTTTTGTTTAGAATTGTTTGAGTAAGAAGTCTACACCTTTTCTTTGTTTTGGACTGTATCTACATATAAGATAATTGAAAGTATATTCTTTTCCTGCAATCGGTTGTTCATCTAGTCATAGATAGGGAATTTTATCAAAGCCAAATTGATATTGTTGCAACACCCTTTTTTCTTTGTTGGTGTAAGAGGGCCTGTTGGGCTTCTGCTCATGTATGTTGTTTTCTAGACTCCTATCTGTTGATATGCTTTACTGTGGAGTTCGGTTATATTGATTGAGGCAAATTTATTTAAATTTCATTTTGTTTGCTATAGTGCAGTATGTAACTAGGATTTTATTTCTCTGGCAGTGCATGAGTGCAGCTCATGTTAGTTCCTGAATATGGGTTACTAGTTTCTTAAAACCTCTACAGTATTGTAGAGTTTTGTTAACTTCTTTATTACTTTTTAATCAAGAAATGCTGAAGAAAGTATGGTTTTGATATAAATCCTGCTGCATTGCACTTTGTGTGTTTAAATTTCCTTTTGCTGTTAAGGTCCAAGCTATTGTCCAGGAGACACTAGAAAGACACGAGCTTACTAGACATCTTGCGACTGAAGAGTTGGAATGGTTTGCAGTACGTATCAAATGATTTTATGTGCCTTGGCTAATAATTAAATTAATATAATAATCAGGTGATTTGACTAGCAGTCTCAATTACCAGGCCTCCGCACTTTTAGCCTTACCTATTATTTTGCTGGCCAGAGTTTTCTTTGCCATATTCTGGTCAGTCTGAAATTTCTCCAACTAAATTCATACGCAGAATTTGTTTTTTGTTAGTTTGTCTGGTTTGAACGGAACTTCATGGTTACTCCCCCTCCTCCCCCCCACACCTTTTATATGTATATAAATATAAAATTTTGTCTGCTGCAGCAAAAAGGTGAAGAAACCTGATCAGAATGGGAACACCCACCGTGCATGACGTAAAGCTAAACGACGGCATCCAGACAAGTAGATAGCATGCAGTTGGTTCCTGCTTGATTTTTCGCATGATGTATATAGGTATCCTTTTCTATCGTTGGCTCAGGATAGCTTTATGCATGTGATGTTTTCATCTTCTGTTATTTTATGTGGCATGTGTCATGAGTCATGCCTTGATTTCTTTGACATTGGCCCTATGTTACGCATCTTCATGTACTTCTCTGGTAGGATTTACGTTGCAAATGTTAATAGAGTAAGCACCTTTGTCATCATGGATTGTTTCCGATCTTTAGCTGTCAAATGTGCCGTTCATTGAGTACTGAACTGAACATCCTCAATGTTCTTATTTGATCTTAAAAATGCATAAACCCTGATTAGTTAAACATTTTTCTCAGGGAACGGAAAAAGGGAGCTCTAATTCACTATGGGAAGAATATTCTTTAAGCTGAGAAGCTGGCTCCCTTTGCAATCTTAGCCTTGCTTAAAGATTCCATCACCAAAATGCAGCCTTTTGGTCTGCAAGAGTTAAGATTCCCCCTGTCATGTATAGACTTATAGCGTAGCCTTTAAGAATGTGTTTATCACTGTATCACATTTTCTCACTCTGTTACCATGATGTGGTGTTCAACTGTCCAAACCTTTAATACTATGCTAGCACCTGAGTAGGTCTTAATCTTTATTCTTGGTTCACAATTGACAATACAAAGCGCATTCGTAATTTTGTAAATTCAAATCGAGGTGGCAGACATATGCTGTCAATCAATAATCTAACTTTCATAAATTCAATTTCAAGAATTAGAAGTCCAGGGGTCCAATTGTAGTCGAATTTAAAATAAAATAATGTCTCAAGAATCCAAACTAGGGATGGTTATAGAACTGTTGCCTTTCATGGCCACCATTATGTAAAAGCTTGAGAATGAATTAGAAAATAAAGAAAAAACATTAAGAGAATAATCTCATTCACATCGATGTAATTCACTTTTCTAGTCCACTCTAGCTCATCGTAACTAAAGTAGAAACTCTTCGTGGAACAAAAAATCAATATTTCTTAGACTAGTTATATACTAGTGTTTAATGCACACATCTAAATGAATGGTGCATGGATATATTCTCATTGTAATATGCATATGGATAAATACAAGATCAAATATATAATTGGTAAAAGCTTAAAATTCATTTTTGTTCTTGGGATGTCAGTAATTTTGGGAATTTTTCATTTTAATATGGGATTTAAGTTGGAAAATTACCCGAATATGGGATTGTTTACAAAATTATAGGAATACGGTCTCTGAAAAAAAAAATTGTCACTTGCGATTTTTGCCATGGTTGACACAAAGTTAGCATAAACAGTGGTCGGAGCAGTTGTAGAGATTCTTCTAAAATTATCACTTGATGATTTTTGCTGTGTCCGATATGAAGCTGTCATGAACAATGGTTGCTGCAGAGACTTTTGAAACATTGCCATTGGCGACTTTTATTGACTTTTTTTTCTTCCTAAAACTCTGTTGCTTTGGAAAAACATGTCCTGTCACTGTAAAATCAACGGTGACAACTTTTACCAGCATAAAAACGTGTTTACGTGGCTTTAATGGAAGATGGACTTGAAGGTTTCGATGAAAAATCGCCACTGGAGTGTGTGTGGCTATAAATATGACCTGGATCACTCCTTTATGCATGGATAGGAGAGGGAAGTAGGGGAAAAAATGGGAAAGAAGGTCAAGGAAGAAGGCCAAAAAGGGAGAAAAAAAATTATATAAACTTTTTAGAGAGTTACAAAAGTTTTCTGAAAAACTTTTTCTTATTAAAAATTTATCAAAATAATTTGAGATGCAATTATGGAATCGTACAGGTATATTTCATATCTTATTTGAACTCAAAATGTAAGTAAATATTTATTTTTTAATTAATGCAATTTAGTTTGATTAATTATAATTTTTTAATTTATTTTTATTTTATTTATTTTTTAATTAATGCAATTTATTTTAATTTAGTATTTCTTTTACTTTGTTAATTACTTTTATTAAAAATAAATATAATGAAAAGAAAATACAATAATTTTATTAATATTGAAATTTTAATATTAGCAATTGTATAATATAAAAATAATAACAATATTAGTAAACGCAATAAATAATAAGTATAGGACATTTTTTGTTTTTTTTAATTCCAGTCATTAAGAAATATTAAAAATAAAAATATATAATAATTTTATTAAATCATGAAATTATAATATTTGTATAAAATAAAGATAATCATTTTAGACAAAGTAAACGTAATAAATAATTAGTATAGGATATTTTTTTATTTTGTTAATTAATTTTAATAAGAATTAATATAATTAAAAAAGATATAATAATGTGATTAAATACTGAAATTTTAATATTTAGCCATTGTATAGTGTTAAAATAATAATAATAGATGTAAAAAATAATAAGTATAGGACAATTATGTTTTTGTTAATAAGAATTAATATAATTAAAAGAATATAATAATGTGATTAAATACTGAAATTTTGATGTTAGCAATTTTATAATATTAATATTATAATATAATAAGTAAACATAATTAATATTTTAAAAAAATTGTCAGTGTCAATTTTAAGACTTATTTTTAATTATTTTTAAAAAAATTTACCAATGACAATTTTTACTCTCATAATTTTTTTTGGTATAATTTATCATTGGGCGACCTTTCATGTAAATTTATTTTTCTGCCACCCGACGATTTTTTAAATTTCCTATATTTAGGTAATTCTTTTCAAAAGTTTTTATATAAAAAAAAAATGGACCATTTTGAACTTGTTACAGTGTGTAATTCATTATTTGGTTCTCTAGGAATAAAATAATTTTTTATTCAAAAGTTTTCCATCAACAGAAAAGTACACAAAGGGAAGCTGTCTTACATTGAATGGAGATCAAATCCAACTTTAAGCCAATAATAATAATAATATTGTGATAAATTGTGATACCCTGCACCTTTTTTGTAACTGAGGAAGGGACTTGTTTAGCTGATTTTGACTTATGGGAATGTGCAAAAGATCTCTTTCTTTGAGAATTCAACTGCGTAGAAGATTAAAGTTGATGGGTAATCGATAGAGTTACGTACTTAATTTGGCAAATGTGGTTCACCTAACAAAAATTACCCACCTCACAACCACGTCACCAAATGAATCCTCCCTTTTGATTCTCATCAAACTTTCTAAATTGGACTAACTTTATTATGATAATATTGGTTTCAGTTCATTTATGCTGTGATTTTTAGTATATACAATGATTGATATTTATTGGTACAAATAATCAATACTCAAATTCAGAAGTAGATCAATCATGACCTTAATTCTGTTATCATTTTTCCAATTCAATTTTCATTTTTATTAATGTTCTTTTTCACACCTGATTAACTTTGTATTAAGATAAAAAAAAAATATTTAGCTCGTGCTTCTGCACTAAGAAATAGTGCTATAAATTATTTTCCTTTCTAATAAATGGTTGCTTTGCTTTCGGTTCTATTATTCTTCTTTCTAAACTAGTGTTCTATGTGTATAAGATTTTCATATATGTAAGGAAAGAGAATTATTTCACTTGGAAAGTTGGATTTTCATAGTTGCAGCTGTAACTTAATTATTAGATTATTATGCTCAATTTCTTTGACCTGCAAACTTCTTTTTCCAAGAAGTGTTCACTTCAATGGGAAAACTGTTGTAGAAGGAGAATGTAAGTTTTCTGTTCCATTGGACAAAACCAGAGAACTTAATCATCTTTGTTTTGTTTTATTTTACACTTTTTCTATTTTCATTTCTTGTTAAGGATTACAATTAAAGGGTATCCAGTTATAAAGTCCAAATCATTGGACAAAACCATCACTAGAACTTGTGTAACCTCGAAGTATTTACTTGCATTAATTCAAATTACTTTGCCCTTTGGTACAAAACTATACGAAATATAAAATTATAGTCCTTCATTTCTAAGTTTAAATAAACTATATAAATTTGTAGTAGTGAAAAACTATTTTTCCTTATTAAATTATATAAATGTATTTAATTTGTTAATTTCTTTTCTCATTAATTTTTATCAAACGTGTAATTCGTTAAATAGAGAAAATTTCCATCACTGGATTAAATCAATGAGAAAATTATTGTACCTATGCTCTTACACTAATGTCAATCAGTCCCAACCTATAATTTTAGTAAGTATTCAAATTACCAATGACATATTATATGTATGCGATGTTAAAAATACACACATCTTTATAAAAAAAATGCTTTTATATATGTTAGACAAAATATTAGTTTGCTACTATACCAAGTCATCTCTTAAGGACACAAGTTATTATTTGCATGTGAAATTAGGTACTATTCTATCATGAGTCCCACAACCTTATACATGCATGTAAAATATTGATTTAAATGCCCATCATATACTATGTCTAAATAAGAATTAATCATTCATGTAAATAGTAGATTTTGATTGTCTAACGGAAGTAATGCGAGCCTAATTAAATTTTATATCTTTTTGAAGAAATTCTTAGAAATGAATGAACTACTGTACTCATTCAAATCAACAATTGACATGTTAATACAGAATTGTGTAATTATGTGTTATAAATGCATCGATATTTAATCATAAAATAGAAAATTTTACTTTTGTAAACATGCAAGACTAGTGAAGGTAAAAATTAAGATTAAGAAAATGTGGATGATCGATCACTTGGTTATATGTGGTGTGTTCTTTATGAAATCTTAGAAATGGGGTTGTTATTAATAATGACCAGGTCAATGTCATCAAAATTTTAGATTTTATTTAAACTAGATCTTACTCTTTGGTCATGGCAAAGCTGGAGTGTACTTTTTTTTTCTTCTTCTTCTTCTTCTTAACTGTATATTAATCTGGTGCAATGTTTGAAGTATTACTAATTTATATATATTTTGTATTAGGGTTGGAATACTCTTGTACCTGTATAATTCGCGTACTGAAAACATGGTGAGGGATATATTATGTGAGGTTTGAGACGAGACATGAAGTGAATAAAATTTGACAATCTTATATTGATAGTAGAAAAAATATTTTTTTTACGGATATTTTATTTTTGAATTTTTAAAATTTTCTGCCCTTACTTTAATTATAAAATTGTAAACTTATTTGTATTCTATTTTTAGAGATTTATATATACAAGAAATATTGAAAATATTTTTTCATATTTTTGTATAAAGTTTTAAAAAGAAAAGATAAAAAAAAAGTAATAATTTTATAATCAAAAGTAAAAATGAAAAATAAAATATTTTTAAAAATTAGACAGTCTTTTTATTTCCCTGTCCAATTATAGATAAAAATGTTTATTACAGTGCTCTACCTTTGTTTAAGTTTTTAAAGTAGCAATATGGCATCAATTTTTTATTTTTGACTATTGTGAACACTGTTGCCTCTATGAATTCTTCAAAACAAAGTTAAATTTAAGTAAAAGGAAAAAAATAGAAATCATGAGTATTATCCACACATTCAGACCAAAAGCTCCTGTGGGGAAGGAGAGTTATTGGCGGTGAAAATTATTCCTCGACTTTGAAAGAACCACTTCAAGAAAAGAGGCAGTATATAGTATATATAATGTTCACAATGACACTGTTACAAAGTAAAAAAATATTATCTTAAAATTATTAAAAAATAATACATATATATATATATATATAATGATTTAAAATATTCAATAAAATGTATTTAACACTTCGTAATATATTAACCATAATATATAGATATTATAATATTATATTGATAGTATATTGATAATCATAACTCTTATACACGCATTAGAAAAAATGAGAGTAGGTTGATATTGCTAAACATGCTAAAAAACTTATGACATTATTATGTTATTTAAGCTATAATGGGTACACAAGCACATTACATTGATATTACCATAAATTCATGGATTATTCATATGGTTATGGCTATGGTTGAATTCATATGAAGATCAACAAATATGCTAGTCCAATGTCAAGGAATTCAACCAATCTTCATTTAAAAAAGAAAGAAAAGAATTTTGTGCGATGATCAAGATCCCATCATAACTCTAATCAATAGTATGAACTAGTCCCAATTGACCGTCGATTAAGAAAACAAGGAAAATGCCCAAACTCTTAACTCGTTACAAATAAAGGAGTGAGAAGCTAAAAGTACAATAATGCAAAAAGAATTAGGAAAATGATAACTACAATTTTAAAGTAATGGTTGATGAATAAAAAATAAAATATTTAATTGAAAAAAATTATTAATGCATTATAATATAATCTTTAATAAGAATTTATTATTAATTCTTTAACTAGTGCTTTATAGGCTTAGAAGAACAAAAGAATTACAGTGGTTTTAAGCTAAGAAAAGAGACTAATTAATAGACATTAAGAACAATAATAAAGAAAGTTCCATTGGTACAGAAAGCAGAAGACTTGGATTGCAGAGTATTTTCCCGCAAGAGACTTAAAAACACTTGAAAAAACACAAATTTCATGGTAGCTGATCCAACTATAAATGTTTCAGCATTATATCATATATAACTATAATTAATATAATAGGCTCACAATTTAGTAGGAAGGCCAGTAATTATCTAGATCCATGACATGGTCCATGGGCATGTACCTATTGCCGTGAGGATTTGCATTGCTCATGTCTGCACCATACCCTACATTTTCTGAAGCAAGAGCATTGGCTGTGATCATGTTGGAACCGAAATCATGCACTTGATGAGGCACTGTGTGAGTAGGAGATGGCTGAGGTAGAGGCATTATTGGCCTCAAGATGGGTTGTGTTGAAGGCACTGTTCCACCCCCTAGATTCAAATTAAGGCCTGAAATGGTGAATCCTCCTCCTCCTCCTCCTATCGGATTGTTCAGATGGGATTGCATTGGTAGATTAACACTGTTTGATCCACCACTTCTTAAGACCCTTGTGACTTCAGCTAGCTCTGCACTACTCATCATGTAATTTCTTCCATAAAAGAAGTGATGAGAAGCATGATCTGCCAAGTGCATCATTGGTTGTGGCACGATGCTTGGACCAACTTCAAGATTATAAGAATTCACTGCTCTGGTGTGGTTGGAAGATGGGTACTTCTTTGCACCAGCACTCTTGCGGAACACTCGGCAAACCACCCATTCATCTTGCTGTAGATGATATACAGTGAGTTTTATATTATTAGATCGTGGTTGATGTGCTGGGAGGGGGGTGGAATATGGATTATTCTTATGGTTATAGTTATAAATGTATCTATAGACATTATATAGTTTATATTTTACATTAAGAATATTCTCTAATTAATATTTACTGACTAATTTCTTTTGAGGCAGAAAAGTTACTAAAATGGTCACATAATTTAATAATATTTTTTTTTTTGCATGCACGCGAAATCAAAATTAACTTACTTAAAAAATTTACTTATTTACTAATTGTGTTAAGTCTTGTTAATAATGTTTATATAATTTATTTTATGAATATATTATCAACTAAAGGTGGTTTATAGTAATAATAATAACTTCATCAAAATGGATACCCAATTCTTTGGATTTTAGAATTTGGGCTACATGAGGGTATATATTGCTCTATGATTTCAAAGACGGATGGAGGTAGCAAAGTTTTAGGGTTCAAATTTAAAAAATAAAAAAATATGTTAAAAGAATTTACTTATTATATTTAATTAATAACTAAAGATTTATAATGATAAATATTTGAACACAATCTATTTACATTATGAAATTTAAATCTCTTCAATTACTCTTAATTCCTTTATTTTATAATTTATGGGTAGCTAAACTACATCTCCACTGTTAAAATGTGCACCACCCATGATTTCATATTAGTTATTGGTATATAATAGGGGAATGTATTTTATACATGAGATGTGTTTGGGTCTGGTAGATCATTATATAATTAAACGGGATTGGTTATCTCTTATGATCAATTTAGTGTGTTAATTTTTGCTTTTTGCTGATAAAAAAAGAAGCGTATATTATATAGTCATACCTTGTTGGATCTGAAGCTGGATTTAGAATGAATGCGGTATTCATGCATGACCCAATTGGTTTTCTCTCCTCTGGGAGCCCTGCCTTTGTAGAACACCAAAGTCTTCTTCATACCAACCAACTCCGACGTAACACTGTTGAGTATCTCTTTGTCTTTCCCTGTGGTTTTCCAGTATCCAGTGTTCGTTGCTCGATTGGTTCTTACACCCGTTGGGTATTTACGATCTCTTAAACTGAAGAAGTACCATTCTTTTTGTCCCATCTTTGCTTTCCCTATTTCACAGAAATAATTATTTATACAGTACTGGAGAGAGATTATATGTATGAGCTAGAATAATTTAGATAAGAATCTTTAATTTGCTTTAGGAATTAATGGATGATACATAAAGTTAAATATGGAAGTAAATATTAAACCATATCACAAAAAAGACAAGTGTATGCGTTATGAAAAAAATTATATTAGTTATATATATTAACCCTTTGCCAGTGAAAAAAGTATGATATCCTATGTATCAAGAATAAACCCTAGATGGCGTTGACTATTTTCAAAACAACATCGATGGAAATTAGACAAAGAAATTAAGTATTAAAATTGATGGACAAAACAAATTAACATATAGTGTCCATGGATCTATTTCTTGATGATCAACGGATGTGTAAAAGAAAAGTGCATAATTTAATTAATTTTTGCAAGTATTTATAGTAAAAGCATAAGATTATCCATGAATCTAATTCAATTAAGCGAAGCTTATATGTGATAAATACCTGGTAGCTCCCATGGTTCACATTTGTTGAGATCTACATCAGCTATTGCTTTGCCTGTAAAATTAGAATCCGATATCTTGTTTGTGAGATAGTAAGAGATGAGTTCTTCATCGGTTGGATGAAACCGAAATCCTGGTGGTAGGGTTTCCTCCTTTGCTTGAGTCCCTTCCATTTCCATATCCTTACTCTCTTTGCTAATAACTTCCTTGTCCTTCTGTGACACATAAAAGGTAACATGATGTACAAATTCCTTTAAGAGCTTCAAATTGTCCAAATTAAAAGCTGTACAAAAGGTTGAAGAAAATTATACTATAGCTAGCGCTGTGATTTTATATATAACCCCATTTTAAAAAACAAAGAAAAAGGAAGCAAGCTATAATTGAAAAATTTTAGGATCTGTTTGATTAATAAGTTAACTTCTTACTTGCATGGAGAGAAAAACTTTTCTTCAATTCAAGTTTTGATGCTTTATATGAGCTAGCTTATTCACAAGAAACACTGACTTGAGGGTTACTACAACTGAATTTGAAGTGTAGAAAAAGAACAAGGGGATGGAGATTTTATCTAGTAACACCATGCATGGGAAGTTTAAGAATTTAAGTATAAAGCCATTGAAGAAAACAAGAAAAGTGTGTTTGTGAAGCTTTCACCAAACGTGGGTCTTTACCTTCTAGTTGCTTTGAACAGCTGTAAATTCCAAGAAAGATACCTAGCGAATTGGATGAAAATGACCATCTTGACCTTGTCAGCATGCGTTGTGTTTCAGTGATCAATTTTATGCAGTTTTATAAAAGCTAATTGAAAAAGGAAAATGAGGAAGGTTTTGAATCCAACTAATAAATATATAATTCAAACATAAATAAATGCTAATACTATATTTTTTTTAACAACACTCTGTAATACATTTTTTATTATCGATTAAAATTTATTAAAATTATATGGGTCTATTTTTTTCTTCTTAAATTAATTTGTGTCTCATACTTTTTTAGTTTTTAATAAATTTTAGACAATAATATAAAATATATTGCTAATTCTTATTCGTGAATGAAAATGTTTTTCAAAGTTTTTTTATTAAGTTAAGTGATCTTTATCTTTATTAAGTACTTAATTTTGGTTTTTAATTATAACTTATTTATTTTAAATATAATTTTTATTTGATTTAAAATTTATATATTGATAATTATATCAAATTATTTTTAATTTTTCCTATATAATTAAATTTAGAATATTTCAATTTTTAAATTTGATTTTTAAATTTTAAATATTAATCATTGTATTAATAAAAGATGATGTATCTTAATTTTGATATTTTCTCTAAATTTTAAAAAAAATTATTTATTTATAAATATTAATAATTAATAATAAAAATGTTTTTAATTTTTAATTTAAAATTTTTTTAAAATTAAAAAAACTATGTATAATACACCACAAATTTACTAATTGAAATAACTCCAAGTTAAAAATAGGTAAATAAAATTAAAATTAAATTAGTAAATTGATTTATTAATTCTCAGTTTTGTTTTGGTTTTGTTTTTTTAATTTTTTATATTTTAATTTCTCAACTTATAAAAGAGTTTCAAATGTTACTTTTTATAAAAAAAAATATTTACTCTATTAAAAAACTAATGTTTATCTTCTTTTTCCTTGCTAGTTTTGACAAAAATACAAGATATTTTGGTAAATTTTTTACTTGTCTCTTTTTATCTTTTTTCTCCTTTTCTCTTTTTTTTTTTTCATCCATACTTCCATGATTTTCTCTTTTCTTCTTGGAACTCTTGACAAAAATATATTTTTTTCCACTTCTTAGTCCTTTATCCTTGGAAGGATATATAAAAGATGTCACAGGTACATTAAACAAGTCATATGTATATGAAACATTGAGCACCACAACATTATAAAACTAAAGTTGAACTGCTCATATTATTGAAAAAATTAGAAAATAAAAATATTAGAAAAAAAAGAAGAAGAGTAAAATCTAAATGTAACATAGGCAAAATATTACAAAGGTGTCCAAGCAGTGAGACATTTTACATGAGAAATTGACACATTATTGACAAAAAGAGTGCATACTAAACATAATATGCCTAATATTACAAAAATGAATTATGAAGATGAAAAATTATGAAATTGTATTAGGAATTGCAAGTGCGACAAGATGAGTTAAACATACTTGAAGGACCAATTGGTACAACTCCGGCCCGTATTTGATTTGAGGTTATTACATATGGATTTTATATATAGTTGAATGAGAAAGTCTTTGAAAAAATGACCAAAATCAACTTTTATTTAGTGGGAACCAAGTTATTGGATGAAAACACATTATCACTAGAATCCACTCTCTATAATTAATTACTAAGTTTTTTCTATAATTAAACACATCATCTCCTGTTTGGTCCCCTCTCTCTCTCCGTGTATATATATATAACCAATGGGATCTTCTAGATATTCATCTACATATATAACCACAAAATACAATAATTATCTAAACTAAATAAAAAGAATATACATACTAAATGTTAATAAAATACATAAAATTATGCAACATTTGAATATTGATTTAAGCTTAAATATATCATGCTCAATACATACTATATACAAATTACCGTTTACTAATACTTTAATGTTAGATTAACTTCTGTTAGTATAACTTTTTTCTAACAAAAGTAGATTTATTATTATAAGTACTTCGTGTTTGTACTACTCATATAGTATTTTATACTATCAAATAAATTTATAAACATAAAACATTAATATACAATATCAATACATAAATATTAGTTTAGTGTATTATTTATTTGTATAGGCCTTCAAATTCATTAGTAAATAATGAATTTTTGTAACGACACACAAGAACAACTCATAGACCAACTATAGGCTTATACAAGCTTCTTATGCAGAGTAATATATACAGAATATATGGGACCCGACCTTCATATCCAGTCCCACATATATTTGTCGGCTTCGTGTAAACTTATCATTTAATTTGGTGCGTATAACGTCACATTCGTTTTAGTGAAGGGATTTTATGTACATGTTGTACAAATAGCAGATGATTAGATATCCTTAAAGCATGTTTTCCCTTGTAGGTTAATGTTCTTTGATACATAACCAATCTTGTCTTCAAATGTAAAAAGGTGCCTTAACTTGTTTCACACGTAGTTTAAACAGTCTCGAGGGTAATGGATTATACTTGTAGTTCTTCAATTGTTGATATATATTTTTTCCATGGTAGGTTAGTTATGGTAATGGAAATATTCACTGCTTTGTGATTGATTTATCCAAGCAAGCTGTGTTTGGGAGCATACACAAATGTTCCAATATCCTTTCATTATAATTCATTGCTTATTTTTCTCAAATAATTTAATCTCAAGTAATTAATTTCCTTTAATTTAAATGTGGTAATTAAGAAAATAATTGGAATTCTTGAGGGACAGACAAATGGGATTTTTAAGATAAGTATAAAGTTTTATGTGGGATTTACAGGGTAAGGAACAAATGACAATTTTCTGATTTGATCGACCATATGATAAGGTTTCTTTATACATCACTTCATGTCAATCCAGTTGGCTGAACTAAATGTAGTCCTACAACCTAAATCAAATTGGAAGTTTTCGATTGCAAAGTAATAATACATCAAATTAATTTCTAAATTTATAAATACAGATAAATTTAATCCCTATTATTATATAAAGATTTGTCCTCGATATTGACAACAATAAATAATTTATCTCTCAGCTAACCTTGATAATTAATGTAAAGATCAATTTTAGTCCATAAATTTAATAATTATCATCAATTTAATTCTTGAATTCGACGACCATTAGTTGATTTGGTCTGTGACGTTAAGATCAAATTGATAGCCAAGTACCAAAATTAAGAATCAAAATGAATGATCGGATACTTGATATTAAAGAAGAAAATAGTTGATGATTGTCAATATTATATATATATATACACACACAATGTTAAGTAATTCCATTTTAGATATTATTTAATAATTTATATTATATATATATTTAATATATTTTATCTCTTTCTTATACAAGTCTTAAATTTTATCTCCTTGTTTTTCATCACATTATTTATGATAACTCCATACCACTGAAAGATTTAGCTACACATTTAAATAAATAACTCAAAAAGTGAAACGAATATTTGAATAATTGGTTTTTTAAAACCAAACATCAAAATGACATTCGCTATAAATAAATAATACAGTACTTTATTTATTCATTAAAAGAAGCGTAATTTTTAAAATCGATATTGATTTTCTTTTATATTTAACACAATGGATGAAAGGATCTTTAAAGAATGATATTTATTTATTATTAAAAAATTGATATAATTAGATAAAATATAAATTAAAATTTGAATAAAGTAATAATATTAAATTAAATATTAGACACCTTTATAAATTGGATATATTAGTTTTATTCAATATTAAAAAAATTAAATTTCTTAAATTAAGAAAATAAATAAATAATTAACGAAAATACAATAAGTATGTAAATATTGTTACACTTTTTATTCAATCATTAATTATCATATAATAAAAAAATATTTTTTGGGATAATTATGTTAAAATAATTTTTATATTATCGTCTGATCACATGTATCATCACATAACAAGAATTGATGACTTTATAATAATTAATTTAAAATTATTTTTATTTCATATTTAAATTGATTGGCAATGTAAATAATATCTCAAAATACACTCTTAAAAATATCATATCATTTATTAAATATTTGATATAGTTTATATATAAAATATTTATAAATTTTATTATCTTAATTTGTTTTACATGAATTCTAAAATATTTAACTGCGGTTGAATGATTTTTGTTGGATGAAAATTACTTTTTCTTAAAAAAAACATTTAAAACATTATAAAATTTGAATATAAACAGTTAACTAAAGTGTTTATAAACATTTAAATTTTTTAACTATCAATTTTTTTAAAAAAATTGCTCATGAGATGATGCTTAAAGGAATAAAAAATGAATTGATTATGAAATAAAAGTATGCTTATATTGTTTAAATCAAGGATCATATATCCAAAAATAAAATTGAGAATCACATATGGGTCTTATTATGTAAAAATTAATCTGGTGAGATGATAATAAAATTTTCATTTTGATTATATATATTAAGTTTTAAATCTTACCAATA